GGTGCACTTTCAGATTTAAAACTTTGCAGGATGTTTTCATTCACTTAGAGCTGTGTTGCACACTGCATGAATGGTCATTTTCAAAAATCCATAATAGGGGCACTTTAAGACTTATGTATTTGAAATGCATATATAAGATTTTCATCCATTTGGATTACACAGTTTTAACAAACAAACTGACCAACTTAATTTGATGCATATATTGTAGTCAAATTAAATAGGTAAGATTTCTGTAATAGTAATAAACTGAATGTGTTTTATACAATAACCAGGTTCATATATTTATCGTCAATATATCCTGTTTGATTCAGTCTCATACATTTTAACTAACTGAATATTGCATGTTCCATAGCTAGCCATATTGTAACTGTTGTCACAATGAACAGATGCATGCTGCTTTTAAGCAATATGAATATATGCATTCAGAAACAAATGATTATTATTCAAATAGTTAATAATAAACTATGGCAAAATGTATTAAACCGAACTGAAAGTGCAACGCTCATAATAGCCGAAATCATAACCAAATTAGCCAGAATATTAAATAAATAAACACACACTCTAAAAAATGCTGGGTTGTTTCAACCCAATGTTGGGTCAAATATGGACTAACCCAACAGTTGGGTTACATTTTGGTTACATTTTTAACTTAGCTTTTTAACCCAACAGTTGGGTTAGTCCATATTTGACCCAACATTGGGTTGAAACAACCCAGCATTTTTTAGAGTGCACAAAGGGCGGATATAAACATTAACAGCTTGAAATGGACTGATCTTTCTCTCTGTCTGCTGTCTTTGACATCACGGCTCTGGATAGTCACTAGTGAAGGCTTTGGGAATGTGTGCGTTCTTGTGGTGCCATTAGTCAGTGTTGCTGTCATGACACCAGTTTTCCAGTATGTTCAGACAGCAGGAGCATCCTGCATCCACCAGCGGCCAACAGAGAAACTCCTACTGAGGTGAATGGGAAATCTAACGGCCTGAACACGACAGACACTCAAAGTTAGCCGTCTAAAGTCAGTAGAATGATGCTTAGCTGTTGTTCTGACAGAGCAATTCATACCATCATCTTTTCCACATCATATGAAACAGTTCAACTGAAAACAACAGGGTAGAAAGTTATGTTTTTATTTGTCAGTCAAAACATGTTAATGGTTTTATTGCGAAACCCAACAGGTCCTGACCTGATCCTGTCAGATATGACAGTGTATAGTGCACGCAACATTAAATAAACGCACTGGTAGCATTCCAAAACAAAAACCGGGCTTGACTGCATAGCTGCAGGCCTGTGAGATGGGGAATTAAACTTATAAACTTATAAGTATAAAAAAGGATGACAACCGTTTGCATTGCTTTTTTGTTGTTGTTGAATTCTGCAGTGAATGGGTGCCGTCTCCTTGTGATTTGTGTCAAATTAATAGAGTTCAAGGAATAGTTCACCCAAAAATGAAAATTTGCTGAAAATGTACTCGCCCTCAACCCTCAAGATGTAGATGAGTTTGTTTCTTCATCAGAACAGATTTGGAGAAATGTTATGATTACATCACTTGTTCACCAGTGGATGCTCTGCGGTGAATGGGTGCCGTCAGAATGAGAGTCCAAACAGCTGATAAAAACATCACAATAATCCACAAACATGAAGCTTTTTGCTTCACAAATCATTAACTGATGGACTGGAGTGCTGTGGATTATTGTGATGTTTTTATCAGCTGTTTGGACTCTCATTCTGACGGCACCCATTCACTGCAGAGCATCCATTGGTGAGCGAGGGATGCAATGCTGAATTTCTCCAAATCTGTTCTGATGAAGAAACAAACTCATCTACATCTTGGATGGTGTGAGGGTTGGTATATTTTCAGCAAAACTTCATTTTGGGATGAACTATTTCTTTAAACTATCCACAACCTCTCATGAATCATGAGATGATTAAAACAAGTATTTCACACTCATTCTAAATGTTACTAAATGTGCAAATAAAATCAACAACAACAGTATAAATAAAACTGTCAAAATGGTCAAACAATGCATTGTTATGCTATTTGATTCATGAGGGTGCATAATGGGAAGAAAGCAAATGTGATATATTTGGTTCGACTTGAAAATGAAGAAATCATACAGAAAAGCTATTGAGATATCACTTGGCTTTCAGAAAAGTTGTTAGAACATCAAAGTATTCAGTAAACTACAATAAAGTTTTAATATTCCAGTAAATCTCAAGTTATCTTGATCACTATTTAAAAGACCTACTTGACTTTTTTTTTAAATGGTGAATCCCATTAGTTCAAGAAAACTTATACTGTTATAAAACATCAATGCAAACATGCAGGAATGACAGTGAAAGCAGCCAGACTCGATGCATTTGACCCCTGCAAAACATCTCAAGTTTCTCTACTAAACATCTGAGCTGTCACGCGAGTGTTTAGACAGTCTAATCAAAGAGCATCAAGATCCTCTGGAATGCTGAAGACATCTGAAAAGTACTTCTGCATTAAACTGAGGCACGCAATGAACGTGATTTAACGGATCTGATGTTTACGCTTCTAGCCAGTCAAGTCATGTCATGCTTCACCCAGGAGGAGCTCAACGTGAACATTTTTGACAGTGTACAGAAATGCAATCATATGACAAGCTGATATGGTCTCTTGGCAAGCTCACATGCATGTAGAAGAAAAAAAAAAGACTTGCCATCTTCAAGTCATGTCAGAAAGGTCATATACAAGATGAGTGTGCGTGAACGTTACCACATGGGTTACAACATACCACATCACATAACTGGAACTTGTGATTTACTTTAAAGGAAAAGTTCACCCATTATTGAGTTTGCTGAAAATTTACTCACCCTCAGGCCATTTTAGACGAGTTTGTTTCTGAACACATTTGGAGAAATGTAGCATTGCAGTGAATGGGTGCCGTCAGAATGAGAGTCCAAACAGCTGATAAAAACATCACAAGAATCCACAAGTAATCCACACCACTCCAGTCCATCAGTTAATGTCTTAGGAAGCAAAAAAAACGGTGTTTGTAAGAAACAAATCCATAATTTAGATGTTTTAAACTTCAAATGATTGCTTCAGCTAAAATATGGGTCTATTAAAAGTTGATATTGTTGACTGAAATAAAGTTTAGAAAAGGAAAATATAAATATTAGATAAAAAACAAACAAAATCTGTCAGTTGACGTTTCTTGGAGCAGCAATACATTTTTATGTATACGGACCATAACTCTACGACTGCTGCATGTAGTTTTCCATAATAAGTAAAATAAAAATTAACTTCCGTGTTTTGGAAGTGGTCGACATGAAATCAAAATGGATAACAACATTTGTACAGCCTTTCCAAAACACATTTTCATGCACATTCAAGACCCCTAATATTCACCAACATTCAAGAAATTATTATTATGTCATATTAAAACAGGTAAATGTGTCGATTTAGCGACCCAAAGAATACAGCTCACTCAGTTTGCCTGAAATCCACATATTCAATGAGAATTTATTGTCACAAGCACAATTTCTCGTCATAAAGTTACACAAAAATAACGGAACACATTTACACAGTTTATACAATCCTAGACTCATTGTACAATGGACAGGCTAACTAAGTACCGAGAGTTAAATATGTACTCACATTGCACACAATGATATTAAACCTACACAAGTATATATAGCTGTATGTGAAATAAAACATGGTCCGACATAAAAAAAAAAAATCACATTATTTACATCAACCATCCATTTGATTTCCAAAAAGGTTTAGATTTAATGTCAAGGTCTTTCCATCAGTCCAGAGTTGTGGCATGATCGAGAAAACAAGAAGTCCACATTATTAGTCCAAAAGTTAATAGTAAGAATCGCAGCTGCCACAAAGATTACAACGAACACCGCGAAATGCTTGAGATTTACGCTGCATCTGCTCATATGAGGCTGGTGTCGATTACTTCACAAAGTGACACTGTTGCTAGTGTTTTTTTAAGAGAAAAAAGAAAAGTTGCAAATGCAAATTTTAAATTCAAATCAAATACTGTTTTTGTCTTTACATCCGTCTACATTTATTATTAGTTAAGCTAGGTTATAGACATCACTACATAGACTACATTTAACACGGTAAGCGTAAAAATATCTCCGCGTTTTTTTGTCAGCGAGATGCTGTTTGGCAACGAAAAATGAGGTGCAACAAGTGAAGAAGAAAAAACGGCGTTATATTTGTGTGTGTATGTGAGAACAGTCTTGACTTGAAGTTGCTGGGTGAATCATCTAACTTTAACTTACAGTAATTTGATGTACACTGTAAAAAATGGCCGTGAATTTAATGGTAAAAGACTGTAAAAATGCTACAGTAAAAACCTGTTAAATGGTTAACGGTAAATTCCCCTACTATATACGGTGAAAAACTGTATTGGATATTACATGTATTGGACATTAATTTTACGGTAGTATACCGTTTTTGTAAGTGAAAAAGACCGTATAATTTACAGTGAATAACCGTAAATTGACATTCCCAGAATTCCTTGCATTACATTTCAAATTTGATGTTTTTTGTTGAAATAACTATGTTTCTTAGTTTTTTCTTATCAGTTTTGTATATTAGGGTTGTGTGTTACACCTAATGTTGTTAAATGAATGTTTATTGCATTATTTCAGTTTCATGTGTGTTACTATGATGGTGTTTAGTGTTTGCGTGGATGACACTGTGCACCTTCTATATATGTTATTATTTAAAAGCTGCTTGTGATGGGCTTTGGTTCATCATGTGACTTTCTCATCACCACCTGCATTTGGTGGTTATCAGTGTATTACAAAGATACAAAACAGATTTCAGTACTTCAATAGGTTGGTATATTAACATTATATCAGTTAATGAAATTATGGTATTTTACTGTAAATTTAAGTTAAAACCGTAAAACCTAAGATGTTGCTACAGTAGTTTTTACGGTAAAATTCCGGCGACCACAGCTGCCGTTTTTTTACCATAAATTTTATGGATTTTTTTTTTACAGTGTACAATCCCGTGTCATATTCACATTTTGCCCAATCCAGGCATTAATTTGCCTGCTATCTACGAATTTTAGGCTTAATATTGATGCTGCTTTATTAGAAGTAAATTATGCCTTTGCATAAATAATCTTGCACATTTACTGCTCACAAAATTGGCTGTAAATGCAAATGTATTTTGTAAATGATGTTTGCGTACATTTTTTTGTGCTAATGGCAGCAGTTAATCATCACATGATGGTTAAATGAAAGAAGAGCATCAAGACTGGGAATATATTTATTTTGCTCTTAGCGCTGTGTGTTTCTAACGGTTTGTGTACAAGTGATCAAGTCAAGAATGTGTGTGTGTGTGTGTGTGTGTGTGTGTGTGTGAAACTCTTCATGTGTTTCAGCAGCGTCATGCGTGTCACATGTGAGATGAAGATACTGCAGTCCGAACCAATACAAACAAACTAACTAACAAAAGAATCTCAGATTACTCAGAGAACGGAGGGAACATGCCGAGGTCGGCAAAGTCTTCGATGTTGTAATTGGTTGCTCCTTGGGTGGGATCACCAGGCATCGGCAGCATATCCTGCGGGACAGAAACAGAGCGCGGCGTTAAATCAGACAGGCTATGGTCAGTAGTGTAGGTGAATGGAACTATAAAGGCCGATTCACATCCAGAGATGCTACATTAGTGAATTTGCATGACTAAGAAAAGAATCAATAAAATAATTCAAGCATCTGTCGGAAAGTTTCAATATTTCTTTCTCAAATGGGACGCGTCACACAAGGTTCGACATCAATGGCGAATTGTCATTGGTTTTTATCACAGCTCATTAATGACGCACCGTATTTGAGATTTAGGGGCTATAACTGAAGAGACCATTTTCACCAAAAGAGTATTTACATTTCTGTCTCCAACACAAATTTTTAACTAAAACTTCAAATAAAGCTGAAATAAAATCACATTTACATTTAACACATTTATGCACAGATTTTCTCCAAAGTGACTAACATTTAAGATACACATTTACATTTGATCAATTCTAGCGAGAATATAAACAGAAAATACATATAAATAGACTATAAATATTAGTATATATTACGTTTTAAATGAATAAAAATTATGAAATATTAGAAAACAAATGAAAATGAGCAACATTGCCCTGGCAACTAACTGAAATAAAATGTATGTTTAAGTTGAAGTACTAAAATGACTAAAACTGAAAAATCTAAGTAGAAATATTAAAAAAACTAAACAATTATAAAAATAAGAACACATTAGGGTTGTGACGGTGAGGAAATTTTCCCACCAGTTAATCGACTTTTGACAACACCGGTATCACCGCGGGGGCGGGGCGTTCCCTCTTTTCCTCGCTTTCCTTCGCTTTTTAATAGCTTGTAAAAGCAGCGTGCACATTTTACTTTCACTTTCAAATAGCGGCAATTCAGCGTAAAGCAATTGTTCGTTTTTAGTTAGTTAGAATTTTCCCTCTTTTCCTGGCTTTCCTTCGCTTTTAAATAGCTTAAAAGCATCGTGCGCATTTTACTTTCACTTTCGAATTAGCTGCAGTTCGGCGTCAATTGCTTGAATGCAACAACAAAATACAACGTCAAACTCACTTTAGCCTATATATAAAACCTAGAACGTTTATTAACAAAACAAATAAAAATACACCACGCTATAGGGCAGGCTATGCCTAATATAAAATAACAAATAACTTACATAAAGTTTAAATAGGTATACAAAACTGGAAATAGGTTAAGTAAACGTATAATATATAACCAAATAAATAAGAAACGTAGAACGTTTATTAGCAAAACGAGTAAGAAAGCTTGGAGGCACGGCATGAGCCTTGATGTCAAATAAAATAAATAAATGACACAAAGTTTAAATAAAGTAAAAATCAGCAAACACTGTGGAATCAATTAAATAAGAAATGAATGTTTAAAAAAACTTCCAAAATCAATTTAGATAAACGGCAAAAGTCAACAGACTTTTCAAAATCAAAAATACTGCCAAACAGGTACTTTTGCATCTAGTTTTGAAACTAAATCATCCGCGATCGTCTTGTCTGTCTCACCCCACTCTTCTTGTCAGTCAGCTGGACTCACTCTCCTCACTGGAGAAACTAAATCTGATCTGGGATGCGACTGTCATTCGGCACGCTGCATTGAGCAGCCGCGTTCAGTTTTTAATTGTAGTGTCTGTTCTTTTACTGAACTAAATTATTTTTATTACTACAAAAAATCTAAACGATGGTGGGGGTCGGTGCCGCGGTGGGCAAGTGACGGAACCGGTGTTGCGGCTTAACAACGGTATCACCATCAGCACCGTCTATCGCGGCAAGCCTAGAACACATAGCAAAATTACTAAAAACTTCAAAATACTAACACTAAAATAAAAACTGCACATATAAAAATAGCCAAATCTAAAATATGAATAAATATAATAATAATAATAAAAATAAACCAATGTACTGCATACAGGTGGATATTGATGTGTATGACAGTGAGTTCACCTGGAAGACCTCGGTCTGGCTGGACTGAGGATGAGGATGAGGATGCGGGTCTCCTCCCTGCTGGCTGTGGTGTTGACTCTGCCACTGAGACCAGACCTCAGACGGCCGGCCCTGGAACTGTCCTCCACTCTGGCTGCTCTCACCCGACACATCTGGAGAAACCAACACAGACACATTCACAACGGCTCCCAACAGACACTTCTTCAGCTTAAAGATGAATAGACATTACGCCCAAGACACTTTATGGTGTTTTGGTTCTTTCTGCAATCCCAGCGAACTACTGCTGTATGGAAAAGAGCTGCGAAGCGGCATTATTGTTAACTAAAACCATTCAAATTCATTTGTTGATTGAAAGCTGAAATAAAACAAAATATAAATATTACATGAAAACTTGAAATGAAAATTAGAAACTGAATTAAATAAAAATAAATGTTATTATAGTTAACCAAAACAATTTTAAATAATTTGTTGATTGAAATAAAATAAAGTATAAACATAAATATTAGATGCAAACTAATTATATAATGGAATAAAACAAAAAATTATTAATGGAATAAAATAAAAGTAAAATAACTGAAATAAAAATAAGTGTTATTACTGTTAACTAGAACTATTAGAAACATGTTAATTAAAATAAAGTTTAAAGAAAATGTCAATATTAGATGAAAACAATTGAAAAAAGCAGAAAATAAAATGTTTTATTATTGTTAAAATTATTTTAAAATCATTTGTTGATTGGAATAATATAACAATCTTGAATGAAAGATGAACTTAAACTAAACTTAAGAACTGAAAATATAAAAATAAAATAACTGAAAAAAAGCTATCTAAAAATATACAAAATAATTTGTTGATTGAAATAAAACTGAAATCTAAATATCAGAATAAAAACAAACTATAAATGGAACAAAATAAAATAACAAATTAAAATAAGTACTAAAATTACTAAAATTAAAACTAGAAAAAAATAAAGCTCAATATAAATGTTAAAAAAGCAAGCTAATACAAATGTACATAAAATTACTAAAAGTAAAATAAAAACTGAAAGTATATAAATAAAAGCTAATTCAATATATATATATATACATAGTATAGTAATAGAAATAATATTAATATAACTGCAAAAAATCCTTTTGTGTTCTACAGAAAAAAAACTAAGAAATCGAGGTGAATAAATGATGGCAGAATATTGTGATATGGATCCCTCAGCGCTCCTCAAAAAACATGTTTAGACTTTACGGTAACAACTTCCACATTAACTCCAACGCGTCTACTTTTGCAGCATCTCAATCGAGCGTGCTTGTAAAACACTTCAAGCGTACGACCTCCATTTCGCTCAATTTGCCGAACAGAGGGAGAGACATTTACTAGAGGCTGACAGAATCATTTAAACGCATACATCTAGTGTCTCTTCACCCGCGGGGCCCGAGTCTTTGCTTAGGAAACGAGTGAGTGAAGCAGACTAACGTGCGGCGGGTGCAGTCGACGACGTGGGTGGGTGGTTTGCAGGATGGCACAGCGGTGCCCTCGGGCTGTTTCTCATATTCTTCATGTTGATGAGGCAGTGATGTAAGGTCAAACTTCTCATTTCCCTACTGTGTTAGCGCTTGCCACGCGGACGCCGAGAGCGGCCCTTCTCTAGCTCGATTTCTGTCTGTCTTTCCCTCAAGGTTCGGCCGTTTGACGCGCCTCGTAAATCTCTCCATCAATATTTCTATTCGTCTTTGGTTGTGTTTCTCTCCCCTAGCCATCTTCCTCCGTCCCCATCAATCTGAAATCAGCATGCTTCATGTTCTCCCTCGGTATCTGCAGTGCTTATGTAGCGCTTATCCTCCGGTCGCTCCATCAAACGTGATTCTCAAAGATGTAATGGTACAAAAAGCCGGCGTGCCAAAAGCAAACGCCGTTCAAAGAAAGAGCCGGGCTTAGCAGTTATTCCCAAGCATATTCAATCAATTTAAGGACTGAATGCACGTTCTCTTGCTTTCATAACGATAAATGCAGCTGTTGAAAGTGTGCTGGATTTCACGTATGCATATAGACTGCAATTAAGACACAATGTAACATTATCTCAGTATGAAACATGTGAATAAAGGCGGTATGATTATTGTTTATGCATTGCATTAGCTGTGACAAACATTGTACAAACTATGAAGCACAAATCCAAAGAGTCTAACAGGAGCTGGTTTATCAGTAAATAAAAGACTGTATTTATTTTATGTGTATAAATTCGCAAGGTGAGTCTCTTATTCTTATTATGTAAAAACATTGATCATGTCTTGGAATAAAGATCACAGCCAATAACTAGCAGTCAATTAAGGTTGAACATATACAAATAAAAAGAAATGAGATTTTATGAAATTCGCAGCGGGTTGGTAATGACACCTAATAAATCTGCCCGCAGATCATGATATAAAAATGTTCAAATTAATGACATTTCTGATCTTCAAACCGCTGCTCTGGCGGAGATGTGCTCCCCTGTCACTTCTCATTTCCATCAGAACCGAATATGAAATATGAAAATATGTTTTTCAAAGTTCTTCGGAAAAGGGCAAAGTACAACTTTCCTCATTTTAACACTTTATGAATTTATCATAGAGAGAAAGTTATTAAGTATGGATAGGAAACAAGCTCACTTATATATTCTGGCATATTTGACATTTAACACTTAATTGTATTTTCTGTTTCTTAATTATAATTAGTGCTGTCAAACGATTAATCGCATGCAAAATAAAAGTTTTTGTTTACATAATATATGTGTTTGTACTGTGTATATTTATTATGCATATATAAATAAATAAATAAATAAATAAATAAATAAATTACATATGCACCTGTGCACCTGTATTATATATGGAGCATCAAATTAGCATATTAGAATGATTTCTGTGACACTGAAGACTGGAGTAATGATGCTGAAAATTCAGCTTTGAAATAACAGGAAGAAATTACATCTTAAAATATATCCAAAAAGGAACCAGCTATATTAAACTGTAATAATAGTTCACAATATTACTGTTTTTACTGTATTTATTTTGTTAAATGAAGCCTTAGTGAGCAAGAGACTTAAAAGTACTTTTATTTGTAACTTTCTACTAGGTCTTTTTTTAAACAGCTAAGAAGTTTTTGTTTCTCATTGGTTACAATTGTGATCAAGAATAAAGCACATATATTCCACTAACTAAAAATTAAAACATGTGCTCAGTTTGCTGAAAACTGGGATTAAATGGATTCATTCCAAATATAGAAAAAGATACTGTGTCTTCCTGCAGTCTCAGAGTCCTTCCTCTCAGAGTGTGTTTAAGTGCGGTCCACGTGAGGAGGTGAAGATAAATGTTCCATTTTCTTTAATGACAGCATATTAAAAAAAGAATTATCTGGACATGGCTTCATTTTCAAGCGGCTGGCAGAAGCCTTCAGGGCTCAGAAAGCCATTCGGAGCATGCTACACTTGAAATGGAAGTGGGTTTTTAATGTCACCTGTTTAACATAAATTACTTATTAAATGGACACACTAATCACAGGTTCAAGGTAGAGAGTTTCCCTCGAGGGACACAACAATGGGAAAAAATGTCATCCTGTAAAAGTCTCCGTACGCACGCCCTGCTTCAAATTAAATTCGGTTCGTAGACCTGAATGTGATGGAGAAATCCGAGGCGGCTTTAAATGGATGTAATGCAATAACAACGACTCTACAGTTTCTCGCTTTAAGCCGTTCAGCATGTTCTGCCTTCGGTCGAGGAATGTGAAAAGTTGCACAATTGTGTTTGTGTATCTGTGCTCTTCGTGTCACGCTGGTCGAATTCCTCACTTTAAAGTGTCAGGATAAAGAAACCAGATCTCTCTAGCATGAGTTTAAAAGGTGCAACGCATGACAGATTAATTAAACCCACTGCAGGCTGTTTAAAGTCCTGGCAAAAGAAAAGCACGTCAAGAGCAAGAGTTTCACTGATTCAACCTGATCTTCGTGAGGATGGGACAGGAGTGGGTGATGGCTTATATCATGGTACGAGGAAATTTATATTATGCTAAAAGTGAATGCATAATAATAATAATAATAATATTTAATAATTATAATGCAATATTTAATATATATACAGTGGGTACGGAAAGTATTCAGACCCCCTTAAATTTTTCACTCTTTGTTATAGATTAATCTAGATTAATTATTATAAATATATATTTATAATTCTATAAAATATTTATACATATATATATATACACACACACATTCTGTTATATACATAATAATACATATATTATCTAATATTATTTATTATAATTGTATTATTATACAATTATCAAAATATATACTTATATTTATAATACTATAAAATATATTCTACTTCATGTCTAAGAACCCCCTATACCGTAGTAAAACACTGTAATGCATGGCCTCACATAGCCTAGTGTTGTATTTGTTTTGTATCATTTTGAGTGACAGCATCTTTCATGGTTACATTTAGATAATAACTTCATTAAAAAGTAATTTTCCAAACTCGTTGAATAAGTTATGTGGACTGTTTAACACTTTCATGATTAATAGTCATTGTTGTGTTGAGAAGTAATTTTGAAGAGTTTGCAAAACCACGAACACAAACATCTAATTGTCAGTTGTCCAGTTGTGATCAGTCAAACCACAGAAATCTGTTTTTCACTCGGTCTATAATAGAGATTAAGTGGCCAAACCAAAGAAAGCAGAACAACAAAGCCGTTTGTCTCACTATGGACGCCATACAGTCCTCACACTGTCTGCTGTTAATGTTGAAGACAAACGACTGTTTCAGTCATTGTCCATTACTGTCTGTCTTTTATATGGAAATCTATAAATCACTGCACAAGTAAAAGTGAGGACTGGTTTCGCAGAGGTGCTGTAATGTGTCCTCCATATGAAGGTCTGTTAATCTCAGACTGACGTCAGGCTGGATCTTCTGTCAATCATGTGCTGAGATCATTCAACCGTTTCAGGTACAAACAGAGCTGCAGGAGTCTAAGGTTGTCACGATAGTCAAATTTCACTAGCTGATAGCAATGCTTTAGGATTAGCAATAGCAATTTATATAACACAAGAATAATGAACAAGATCAGATTCAATATTTTGACAAATCCAGTTGAAACCAACAAAACCAATGTTTACAAAGATAACAAGCACTGTAAAAAAATACAAAGATTACTGGAGTACTTAAATTTTTTTTCAGTTTTTCTACTTCAACATTTCTCATTTAATTCAGTGTTACTTGCTGTAATTTTTTTGCGACATTTACTACAAATTTCTGAGTGAAAATTGTTTCAAAGTAAATCCTACACAATATTTTTTTTCAGTAAATAACCACATTTGAGGTTAATGCACAGCTACACATGCATTATCATTAATAATAATAATAATAATAATATTATATATATATATATATATATATCTAAATTATAATGTGGGTCAAAATGACACGTCCCATTTTGGTGTCCACATCAAATTAAATTTACAAAAATGATTTTATATACATAAAAACAATATTAAAGTGTCTAAAAAAGTCAAAATATGGGTGAAATAGTGTCCCATTGCCATCTATCTATTATAATACAGAAAACATGCTCACATATTACCATTACTATTATTATATTACTAGTATTAATTATTAAATACATAAATATAAATAAATAATAAATACATTTTAACAATATTGTCAGAATATGTTTATATAATTGAAATGACTATAAACAATAAATGTACCAGAAGGAGTCAAAGTAGTACCAAAACAGTTGACATCCCTATCTTTGGAAGTTATTTTGATATCTACCTGATCACATTATGGATAATAAATGATTGAATATATGAGGCAACATTAGCGCAGTAAACAGATATGCACAAAAAATATGCAATTTAAAGCATGTTTACACCAAGAACGGTAAGTATAACTATATTAGTGTCCACACCAACGAACACTGCTCCGGGTGTGTATGTTCACTGCTGTGTGTGTGCACTTTGGATGGGATGCAGAGCAGAGCACTAATTCCGAGTATGGGTCACCATACTTGGCCACATGTCACGTCACTTTCACTTTCACAATAACGTTCTGTTTATTATGACCACAGGCTACAGTTTTGTGGTTTGCAGCTTTAAATGCTCTAGCTCTCTAAAGCAGGGCGGATTCTGATTGGCTGTCAACATTTTTAGCGTTCATCAGCTGGAAAAAATAGTTCTGAAAAAAGCATTCTTCTGTGCCATTATTGGTGCAGTTGTGCTGTGGACTCTGCTGTTCTTTTACATTTAGAACGCTTTTTAAAACTACATCTTTATTTTTATCATTACAGTTATTGTCCTTGGTGTGAATGGGCCTTTATTGCCATAAATAAGCAGATCTTACCAAAAGCAGTGCTGCGATTGGCCAGGTTGGAGTAGGCGTTTCCAGAGGGCGAGGAGGTGGCGGGGCTGGACAGAGGGCTGTAAGAGGACGGGTCGGCCTGGTAGCTGTGGCTGGAGCCGATGCCGAACGGTGAGGACTGGGCCTTACTGGACTGAGCGGGAATCTGCTGCTGCGGTGGAATGACAGGAGTCATGATGATATTAACATACAGCTGATTAAAAACACACACACACACACACGCATATCATGAATGCCACACACAAGGTTCTTCATGACCCCGCTAACTCTTTCAAATGGCAGGACATTAAGCACGGCCTCATGCCCTAAAAGACAGCATAAAAGCGTCCCAGTTCATTCCCTCTCTTATATTAGTTCATATTACTTTAGTTGGACATGTTGCACTCACAATTTGTGCAGTTTTCATCTATACAGCTATACAGCATTTATTTAGGTTATTATACATAATTTACACCTCAACCAAAAAAGGTGTAGGCTGACACCTTAGCTTATTTTGCTATGTATATATAGATATTTTGGTAACACTTTACAATAAGGTTCCATTAGTTAATGTCAGTTGATGTATTAACTTATATGAACGAACAATGAACAATGCATTTATTACAATGTTTATTCATCTTTGATTATGTTAATGAAAATATAGTCGTTCATTGTTAGTTCATGTTAATTCACAGTGCATTAACTAATGTTAACAAGCACAGCTTTCGATTTAAATAACGCAGTAGTAAATGTTGAAATTAACATTAACTAAGATTAATAAATGCTGTAGAAGTATTGTTCATGCTTAGTTCATGTTAACTAAAGTGGTTAACTAATGTTAACTAATGAACCTTATTGTAAAGTGTTACCGATATTTTTTTTACGCAAGTATGAACTAATTACTGAGCCCTGAAGGATCTTTTTCAGCCATTGCTCCACATTCAAACGTGGATCTGGAACCAGTTCTCTCATCAGGCAGCTAAAGAGGAATGTTCCATTACTTTAATTATGTTAATGGAGACTAGAGCGCCAGCGGGCAGCGGGTAGCGCAGTCACGCACACCCAATGCCGGGAACCTCCGTGAAGTTGGCCCCCCACCCAACGCAAAACGTCGCAAAAATAGTCTGAATCGTTTGTGCTGCTTTGGTTTGTTAGATATAACATTTATTTAAAGGTCATTCTCAGGTCACTCAGCCCCCCCACACGCTCCAAATTCACCCGGAATAGTCTTGTTTGTTTGTGCAGGTAAAGGTTTCGTTTGTGCTGCTTTGTGCCGTAACAATTTTCGTTTGTGCTGCTTCAGTTTTTTAAATATTAGACATTGAATTTTAGGGTCGATGACATCACCAGCTCCCCACACGCTCCAAATTTACCCCAAATACCTATGTTTGTTTGTGATCCGTTTGTGCTGGTTTGTGCCGTAAAAAAAATAATTTGTGCTGCTTTGATTTTTAAGATATTAAAATAATATTTAATGTTGTTTTTCTGAGGTCACTCAGCCCCCCCACACGCTCCAAATTCACCCGAAATAGTCACGTTTGTTTGTGCTTCGTTTGTGCTGGTTTGTGCAGGTAAAGGTTTCGTTTGTGCTGCTTCAGTTTTTTAAATATTAGACACTGAATTTTAGGTGATGACGTCACCAGCCCCCCTACATGCTCCAAACTCGCCCAAAATAGTCTCAATCGTTAGTGCTGGTTTGTGCCGGTTTGTGCCGTAACAATTTTCATTTGTGCTGCTTTTTATTTTGCTTTTATTTAGCATTTTATTTTGGGTTCCTCACTTCTGTTCAAGATGCTCTTGTGGAAATTGAGTTAGAGGAAAAGCTGATACGGTTACAAACTCAAATTTCTGGTCAATGTAAGTACAATGTTTTAACAGTGTCAGTTCACAATATTATTAGTTACCCTTATGAAAATGAACCATGGTGTTACTACAAATAAAACCATGGTAACCCTAAAACTGAATTTTAGGTGATGACGTCACTAGCCCCCTACATGCTCCAAACTCGCCCAAAACAGTCTCAATTGTTAGTGCTGGTTTGTGCCGGTTTGTGCCGTAACAATTTTCGTTTGTGCTGCTTTTTATTTTGCTTTTATTTAGCATTTTATTTTGGGTTCCTCACTTCTGAAATTTATGCTCTTGTGGAAAGTTTGTAAGGAGAAAAGCTTAATCCGTTTGTGCTGGTTTGTGCCGTAAAAAAAATAATTTGTGCTGCTTTGATTTTTAAGATATTAAAATAATATTTAATGTTGTTTTTCTGAGGTCACTCAGCCCCCCCACACGCTCCAAATTCACCCGAAATAGTCTCGTTTGTTTGTGCTTCGTTTGTGCTGGTTTGTGCAGGTAAAGGTTTCGTTTGTGCTGCTTCAGTTTTTTAAATATTAGACACTGAATTTTAGGTGATGACGTCACCAGCCCCCCTACATGCTCCAAACTCGCCCAAAATAGTCTCAATCGTTAGTGCTGGTTTGTGCCGGTTTGTGCCGTAACAATTTTCATTTGTGCTGCTTTTTATTTTGCTTTTATTTAGCATTTTATTTTGGGTTCCTCACTTCTGTTCAAGATGCTCTTGTGGAAATTGAGTTAGAGGAAAAGCTGATACAGTTACAAACTCAAATTTCTGGTCAATGTAAGTACAATGTTTTAACAGTGTCAGTTCACAATATTATTAGTTACCCTTATGAAAATTAACCATGGTGTTACTACAAATAAAACCATGGTAACCCTAAATTAACCATGGTTTTGGTCGATGACATCACCAGCTCCCCACACGCTCCAAATTTACCCCAAATACCTATGTTTGTTTGTGATCCGTTTGTGCTGGTTTGTGCCGTAAAAAAAATAATTTGTGCTGCTTTGGTTTTTAAGATATTAAAATAATATTTAATGTTGTTTTTGAGGTCACTCAGCCCCCCACCCGTAGTTACCCTTATGAAAATTAACCATGGTGTTACTACAAATAAAACCATGGTAACCCTAAATTAACCATGGTTTTGCTGCAATAAACAGTTTAACCATGATATTTGTAGCAAAACTTTTATACAAATGGTAATGAATATGCCAAATTAAAAAAAAAACTTGGTTACTACACTTTAAAAAAAAAAGTGTAGTAACCAAACCAGCACAAACGAAGCACTAACGATTGAGACTATTTTGGGTGAGTTTGGAGCTGCTCTTGTGGAAATTGAGTTAGAGGAAAAGCTGATACGGTTACAAACTCAAATTTCTGGTCAATGTAAGTACAATGTTTTAACAGTGTCAGTTCACAATATTATTAGTTACCCTTATGAAAATGAACCATGGTGTTACTACAAATAAAACCATGGTAACCCTAAATTAACCATGGTTTTGCTGCACTAAACATAGTTTAACCATGATATTTGTAGTAAAACTTTTATACAAATGGTAATGTAATGTAATGTCTAATATTTTAAAAACCAAAGCAGCACAAACGAAACCTTTACCTGCACAAACCAGCACAAACGAAGCGAGACTATTTCGGGTGAATTTGGAGCGTGTGGGGGGGCTCAGTGACCCGAGAATGACCTTTAAATAAGTATGTTATATCTAACAAACCAAAGCAGCACAAACGGAAATTTTTACAGCACAAACGATTCGGACTATTTTTGTGACGTTTTCCGTTGGGTGGGGGGCCAACTTCATGGAGGTATGCCGGGATCATTCTCACCTGGCCGGAGAAGGGAGGTCGGCTTCCTGTCCACGACACCTGGCCGGCGTTGATCTGTCGGGAGATCTGGGTCATAGTGATGTCATTGCCTTTAATGTAATGTCTAATATTTTAAAAACCAAAGCAGCACAAACAAAATTTTTACCTACACAAACCAGCACAAACAAACGAGACTATTTCGGGTGAATTTGGAGTGTGTGGGGGGGCTCAGTGACCTGAGAATGACCTTTAAATAAATATGTTATATCTAACAAACCAAAGCAGCACAAAAGATTGAGACTATTTTTGCGACGTTTTGCATTGGGTGGGGGGCCAATTTCATGGAGGTATGCCGGGATCATTCTCACCTGGCCGGAGAAGGGAGGTCGGCTTCCTGTCCACGACACCTGGCCGGCGTTGATCTGTCGGGAGATCTGGGTCATGTTCTGTCCAGCTGAACCGGCTGTGGACTGGATGTCATTGACTCCTGGGACGTGGATCACAGATGAGCTGAAACACACACACACACACACACACACACACATTATGTGACTGAATTAAACC